CGAGAAGCATCCGAATGCTCGAACAATCAGTAAACGGCTTGTGAGCCAATTCGTAGTTTAGGACGTTTCAGAGCTCCAAAAGCTTCAAACCGGAGTTGATTTTCTAAGGATTAATAACGATTAGTAAATACAACAGTATTTTCCACAAGAGTATCCGATCGGTTTTGAAGTTCTTAACATTCATCAGGTATATGTGACTTCTATGTTCATACTGTCATACTGTACTTTCCAGGTGACTCACACACCACTTATTTGAGTTGCAACTATGGCAGTTAGTTCGAGTAGAGTCGATCTCACATCGTGATAAGGATGATTTCACAGGTCAAAACTTGGGATGACCAAAATGTGCCATATTTCACGACACAGCCAGAAGCCAGTGTAGTTACCGCTTAACCAAGTACCTGCAGGTAGTCATATACTGTGGAAGAACCACATTCGAAAAACACTCTTATTAGAACTCAACCGTAATGCAGTTAGTTCTACCGCTGATGTCTGGACCGAGGTTGCTGCGTGAACATGAAATCTAAAAAATAATCTCATTTTAAATATCGAGTACATTCACTGTCAGTTTCTAGCTGAAAAGGGCAACATTTAGGATGAATGCAGACTGCTGGCGAAAATCGAAATTTGACATGAACCTATATCACGCTATGGTCCATGTCAAATATGTTGCTCAAAGCATCAACCTCATTTCGGAAACAGTTCTTTCAATTTTTGCCAGTAAATCGCCAATGCAAAATGTTGTTCCATTCATGGATTTAATTGGATTAAATTTGTAGAAATAGCAGCGTGATAATTTATAAACAAGTCAATGGTTTTTTGGTGATGGTTAATATTTGTTCTAACTGAACTGAACTGAACCAACGAAGTGAATTTCACTCTACAATTGTATATGACTGAAACATTTACCTGCAAAGAATTCTCCATAAGCTATCCATTCACTTCATTAGTGGGTGTACTGTTTAACGAATAAAAAGAAACCATTTCTCGAAAATTTGTCCTACGAGTTATTTCGCACCATTGTTGGAGTGTGATTGCCACCAAAAGCAATGTTTTGTTAGACGGACGCGATCGGGACTTACGTGTATTCTTGATTGCCAATTAAATAATCTCCAAATAATGCATGGCACCGAAAACATCGCAGCTTGAAACATCAGTATGAACGGAACCCATTGATAATAGTGTATGGAATCTTTCCGTCTCACAGTTAGATCTGCTGGGATCGTGGCTTGATTGGGTGGAATAAAGTAGGTTGATGTGACCCAACACACCAGGGTGGCGTATTCGACTTGGGCACCGGTAAACTCATTCGGTGTCCAACAGGACATGGGTTTCCCGATAAACTGTCGTCCGAGGACAATCAGGGTGCACAACATGAGAACCGTAGTGGTGTACGAGTGATTGACCCGGTCCACAAAATCATCATCACTACGACTTTTACTACTTCCAAGCTCAACACTGATCCGAGTGAGACCGTTCAAAACCCCGGCCTCAAACATAATGAACACCGGCTAACACATTCAACCGGAGAGACCCGGACAAATTGTTGCGAACACTCGCTTAGTGCCACAGCTCCTTGGAGTGTTAACTTGGTCGTCTACTTGTGTGGCGCTGGTGTTGGTGGCAGCATGACCCGGACGCATCGTCTGTATCGTATGTGGGGTCAGATTGCGTCAGGGAGCGATCGCGAGGCGCAACGCACCCTCGTGAACATTCCAAACTATAGAGACGGTGACATACCGGCCACGGTCACGAATCAGCGCTGACTCGCCTCAGAGCCGTGAGAGGTAAGGACTACACATGAATCATGTGTACGAGAGTCGAAGGGTGTGACGACCGGTTGTGAATGCGTATTGGTTGTGTATGCTCCCGAACATGTGTGTGTGTGTGCGCGGGTATATAGTTAGTTTAGTCAAAATGAATAAACGGCATACCTCTACCTGTCTAGCAATGGAACGAATACGGCCGTGTACCGGGCAGATAGGCTAAATGGACTGATATGAACGACAGACAGACAGTCGCAAACCTGGTAGTTTGGCGCTAAGACAGGCCTGGTTGAGTTTTCTTTGGTGGTTGGCCCAAAAGATAGCCCGTATGTCTGTCTATTCAAATGGCTCCCTTTATTTTTCTTCTTTGTTTGTTTGTCTGCCTGTCTTCTCTGTTGTGTGTCTGTAAATCTGTCGGTTCGCCTGTCTGTCCATGTGTATGTATGTTTAATCGAAACCAAACATCGCCTTCTAATGGGCACGACCATCCTATTGCATGTGAGAAGTGCATACCAAAGAGACTGCATAAAGTGCAAACCTGTGGGGGTTGACGACAGATATGACGACGGTTTGTACATACAAAAAGTTTGGAGGTAGGTATGCGAGGTTGTGATGCAATGGTGACGGGATGGTACACAGTGGTGGGGGAAACAGGTTTATGTAACCACAAGTGCCGTACCGAAAAACAGAACCTGTATCCACCACAGAGATAGCACATCAGTCGGACGCCAATAGGGATAAGTGGGCATGACAAATGATTTGCACTCACGCAATCCCCCCGTTTCGAGAACAGTTGCCCATGCCAGACGATGTTCTCTTTGATTTCGGCTAAGTCTCCAGCTTCACATGGGTCACGTTAGGCGGGGGGGGGGGCATTGTGTGAGGAATCAAGGGAAAACTGGTAAAGGCACCATTGTGAAATCACGTTTATTCAATTGCAAGATGTGCTGTGTGTTTTGTTCTACTCGTGAAAGGTTTATTTCACGAGTTGTTTGGCCCATCATTTTTGCTCAGTCACATAATTGCGAATGATAGCCGACCTGGAGCACGATATTTTACTGTTATGCTGAGTATACATTCGAACTTATACGGTTCTCTGGGGTAGAAGTAGTGATCATTCTTTTAAATGTCTATATGTATATATATAAAACAATATTGCTATTTCCGAACGATTTCAGAGGGAATCAACTTTTGCAATTCTGCATTGCATTTTAATGACTAACTCTTAAAAGCGATAGCACAACAAACAGCGTGGTAAAAATGCTGATAGGTGTAAGTTCAAATTCATCCGGATGATAACGGAGTTCCAGGGGCTCCTTTCAGTTTGCGCATCCAACTTTAATAACGGATGAGTCAGAGGTCATTATTGAACACATGGACAGGACCACTGTCCAATCGTTCGTATCTCCCGTTGGTTGAATGCAGCTGAACGAGAATAATCCCAGAAGCTGAAGGGAGCATTGACCGCATTCCGGGCTGTCGGAGGACTACACAAATTTCTGTTTAGACTGCGGTGTATGAGCGTGAGATCATTGAAAATTCCCTATCCGGTTTGGAAGACGAAATTAGCCCCAGATAATCTATGGGGCTTTCCCCTTCCTAAAACAATTGTCTAGCTTTTGTGGTTAGATACTGACTTTATGTATAAACCGGGCAATATTTATTGTGATATATTTGGCATGACTGCGAATCACTGAAAATGAGCTTGTTCGCCACTCCTTGTTGTATTTGCATTGGTATTCCTGCATGAGCAAAAACAGAATGTACAAAGATATACTGTTCAATAAACCACACAAGTTCATAGTTTGTGTACAATCATTACAGATGGATCTTTCTGTTCCATATACAAACTGAAGAGAATTCTGGGAATCTTCAAGCAAAATCGTATAATAGTAGCTTGTTAAAATGTGTTATTCTTTTCGAAAAAAAAACGTTTGAAAAAATGGATTTGTTTAGGATTTGGGACAACATTGACTTTTCTCCGTGGAGTACGGGATATAGTTCAACAGTGGGTTCAAAGAGGCCTCAAAAACATCCCCCGTAGAGAGAAAGTTGATCCTGGCCCAGTCAGAAGTTTATCCTAACTTTGTGGATAAATGAGACATATATTAGATGCCCGCAACACACTCGAAAATACGCATTATGCCATATTGGGCATAGGTAAATTGAAAAACGGCTTGATCAGTTATCCGGATGTCAAATAGGCAGATTATGCTCGCGTTCTATCGGTAAGATATGGGATTCGATCCTAAGACAGAGTAATTGATATGCACTGCTGATGATATTGAACCAGATAAAGAGATTTTCATGTGGACAGCTTAATCGTAAATCTCTATGGATGTTAAAAAGTAAGCAGATGAAGTCACTGTGATAGTAGCTTTATTGGGAGACAGTTTGAAACGATATCACTGGAATACTGCAATCTACTTTGGCTGAATAATGGAACAAAACGGTTGAGAATTGAAAGAGTACAATGACTACCGGTGGGACCAGTATACCTCAAACTAAGACAAAAAGACACAGATGTTCAGTAACATCCCGGTTCAGAAGTGAATTCCCTGAAACAAAAGATAAACTTAAATCACTCAAACTCATCAACGGAAATGTGGAAGCATGATCAAAACACACTTGGCCAATAGGGTGACTATGACCGGAATAAAAAAAGTTTAAGACTGAATTAATACCAGACCGGAAAACACTACGATGCAGTGTTTAACTTCGAGACAATAGCCCAACCAAAGGATGAAAATTCATGGCGGTAATCTGCAGACAGACGGTCAACATCTCTANTTTAAAAAGCACACAAGATTATTGAAACGAATATGAGAATATAAACATTGCACAAGTCTGTCATCTTTCCGAAAAAAAAGAATTGACGTCCGTGCTTAGGAAATAGCTGAGTTGTGCGCAACTTGGTATGGTCTGTCACTCTACCCATTTTCCCCTTTGTCCTCTACTCTGCTGTCACAACTATGGTGGTCTGTTTTGGGAGAAAAAAATGCAAGGAGTATGAAATTTTGTAATTTTTTTAGAATGATAAAATAATTTCAAAGCAAAGAAGTGTCTAGTAACCAGTCAAAGATCGTTCGCTTGAACTGATGATTTAAAAAAATTATAAATTTGTTAGATAGATTATTACGAGATATTGCTCACTATCTTAGCTCCATTATTTTGGAAATACAAATATGAGTACTGCAACCATTACATACTTTATTCACATTTATCTCATTAAACACTGATACTGAAGTGTATAATCGAAATTTCGATTCGTGGTCATAAACTATAAATCCGCGTCCAACTGACATGCTTTCGAACTGCAACACCGGTAGATGATCAGTTGAGCCTGATGGTAACAAGGACTTCAAACGGAGTGACTCCAATACAGTCGCCGGTTCAGAACATCCACTAGAGAGCGTATGCTGAACAACTGTTCCAGGGTCTCTTTCACGGAATCACAGTTTTCTATCTGTCCTCTCATTATTGTTTGGTACTTCGAATCAGTAATAGTGCGGTATATGCAAACCGGTTTACTCCTCCGAACGGAAGTAATAGCTCTTAGATCCATGTAGCAATGTTTGGATTAGCCACAAGGAGAGAAAACCAAAAAGAAATTTCGGTTGACGAACTAATAACTCTTGAAATAACAGAGAAAACTGCCCTACTACAATGCCGATACACACATTGGACTTGTACAACACCAATCCTTCGACTTTCACATTACAATCTTTCTAACTACCACTCGTTTTTGAAAACTTAAGTCACCACTCAATCGAAAATTGTATTCCATGCCAGTTAAAGCTATATTTAGCCCAGTCGAGATGTGTCCTTAGACAGCAGTCGGTCATTCGAAGAATTTGTATTCATTGTTGAACGTTTGGACCGCAGGTGTGAAACACTAATTTGATTGTACTTTCTGTACTGTATTCTCTCTCTCAGTGCCTGTTCACTGATGACGTCACCTCGACTGTTGATGAAACGTTAGGAAACAAATTGAAACTTCGGCTATAAAACGAAATGGAAATCAGTTCACCCAAGCCAGGAGGAGAACGGATTTTCAAAAGTTTGTCAACAGAAGCGAATATATTTAGGGTCAATTATTGTAATATCTATCACTCCATTGGAGCTATGGACTTACGGACACAGAATGGCATTCATCTTCACCTGCGCCCTGGGTTTGAATATGAGTTTTGCAAACGTTTAGTCCTCAGGCGAGTGAAAACCTCCAATACCTTTCTACTGCTACTATTGTCAACGTTCTCTCATCGCTTTGAAGGATTCTTGACTCGATTTCTTAGATATTCTAAACTTGGAGTCATTTTAAATGCAATGGAGATGTTTGTGATAACCAATAAAGAGCACTGGACAACTGTTTCGTCCTGTTTGGGACTCGTCAGCAGTGCGTACTTTTCGAGTCCCTGTCAGGACTCGAACCGCGATCAGTCGGGTCGAGACTTCAAACCCTTACTCCTGAGTCCTGACAGGGACAAAAAGTACGCACTGCTGACGAGTTCCAAACAGGACGAAACAGCTGTCCAGTGCTTTTTGTTGGTTACCACAAAAATTTCCATCGCATTTGAATGCATACGAACAGTGGGGAATTAACGACCTTCCAAGGAGTGAAACCCACACCGAAAGCCATCAATAGTGCCTGGTGCCTCTGAACAATCGAATGGGCTAATCCAAGTTTGATACTCTATATCGGAGTCATCATCTTTTTACAGACCTGGTTAAAT